ACAGGTTATGAGGTAAATGACCCCTTCCGAAGAACAATAAATACAATCTCTAATCTCATATTCAGTTTTAGTGACAGAAAAAATTAAATGTCTGGTTTTATTAATGTGCAATAATTACATCTCTTCTGACCACATCTGAACATGCCTTTGCAAGTTAACCATGTTTCTGTTTTTTGGTGAGTATTAGAAAGAAAAAGACTGAGACAAAAGGGATTTGAGTGATTTCGCTCTTCTAGCTGAACTCTGAAATTTGGTATCACAGATCTTTCTGTAGAAAGAGTCTGACCTTATGACAGGAAGGTCTTTACATATAATATGGGTGATGGATTTTAATTGGTTACTGTAATCTGTGCAGAAATATGGGAGACTTTCCATATTTTTAAATGGGAGAGATGTTAAATTAGAGGTTCTCTAGCTTTTCTTTATTTGTCGATCTGTGTATCCCCTGTTATGTAGCCTGTCATCCTGTTCTTTAGCCTGAAATTGAAATGTATCATCTGTTGAACAATTCCTGTGAAGTCTGAGGAATTATCCTAAGGGGATCACATCAAACATATGTGGTGGATGACAACAATCTGTCCTAAGAATAGCATTACCCGCTATTTTCTTTCTAAAACCTGCTGTTATAATTGTCTTATAGATAGAGCTGCCTTCCAAGCTAAGATCAAGGGAATCAATTTTAAATTGTTGTATGTGGTTGGTAAAATATAGATTCCACTCTGGACTATTTAGGCTAAGTGCAAACTGGGAACATTCCTCCTCTCCCCCTTCCAAATGAAAAGAAGGTTGTCAATGTTCCTTCCATAGCATATAATATTGGATCTGAACGTGTTATTCTCCCTAAAGACATAGTACAGCTCCCACATAATCATATACACGGTGGAATAAGAAGGGGCAAATTTCGTCCCCATGGCAGTGCCAAATCTTTGGAGAAAAAAGGTTCCATCAAACACAAAATAATTATGCATGAGTGCAAACCTTTCTGGTGCGGTATGCACGAGTACAATGAACTCACATCCATGCTGAGCCATCTAAAGGAAACCTTCCATGCTATTTATTCCAGTTGGATTAGAACATCTCTGAATTCTTGAAGTAAACCTTTGGCTCCCTTAATTAAAGGTTGTAGTTGGAAATCTAACCATTCCAAAAGCCCTCTCCAAAAGATCAGATCCCCGATATGATGGGACAGCCAGGTGAATCTATCCTAGATTTATGGATCTTCGGGAGATGGTAAAAAAATGGCTTTGACCGGATTCATAAATTTGCTTGTAGGGTCACCAGTCTGACATAGGTTGATTGGTCTGATAACTGTCTGAGTGCCTACTTCTTATATTTTTCGGTATCCATGACCACAATGTTCCCCTCCTCATCAGACTACTTGATGACCACTGATGTGTCACATTGTAATGATTTGAGAGTAAATCTTTCCTGCTTAGATAAATTAGATTTAAATCTCTGTATGTCCATACCCTTCTTAGGTTTACTTTTCTTGTATAGATCTATGAGATCTTTATCAATTTTTGGAATAAAATTCTCTTCCACACCCCTGCTTGAGAGTGGATTAAAAGTTGAGGGGGGTTTTAAATTTGAACCTCCACATGATCTCATTGATAAAATGAATTGATTTTCCTGTTCCAGTTCCTCCAGATCTGTAACTAACCAAATATCTTGGAAATTGAGATTAACAGTGGGGAGAACTGCACTAAAAGATTCAATTTGATCGTCCGTGCTGAGATTTCTCTCACAGCAACTAATGACATCTTCAGATTCAAAATCTGTTCCCTTATTAAAGATTTTCTTAATTGTTAAGTACTGGATGAACTTGTTGACATCGACGAGCGTGTTGAATAATTTAAAGTCTGTTCCCGTCTTGTCTCCTCTGAGATGATATTCCTTTATGACATCCGCCTCTCCTTGTTTTCTTCCTCCCTTTTTAAAGGCTTGTCAGTGTGGTCCTCCTCATTGGTGCTGATGCTGTTTGCAGGAGATATGTCCCTCCTTCTATATTATTTTTATTTTTTTTGTAGGTTTCTGATTGACTTGAGAGTCTAGAGATAGCAGAAATATCAGATCTAGGATTAGAATTATTAATGGTTTCATTACTTGAAAACGAGACTCTCTGTTCAGGGTGATGATGTGTTTTCTTAAGGATGGAGTGTTTTCTTCTAGAATTATCCCAGCTAGACTTACGTGGATTCACCTGCCATGTGTAAGCTCTGTCGTCAATCTTCTTTATCTCTCAAAACTTATTTTCCCATCGATAATTTCATCCTCAATCTTGTTATATTATGTTTTCATTTTGGAGTCCCATTGTGTGAACAATGTTGTAGTCATTTTGTGTTCCAACTGTTCGTTTAATTCTGAGATTTGTTGGTTTATTCCCTGAATTTTTGCTTCATTAAACTTAATTAGGTGCCCCATCAATTCCAACAAACATTTCGAAAGTGAGTTGTTCCATTTAGCTTTCAAATTCTCGGACACTTGATTATAAGTGGGAATTTTCTGTAGTCTCAGGCTATTCTCGATATTCTCGCCACTTCACAATATTTTTTAAGGCTGGTAATTTCCCAGAATGTTTTGATCGTTTTCAGATTCAACTTTTCGAGTTGTATTTGTAATGTTCTCATTGAACTGTCATTTTTGGAATTACCATCTCTTGAGGATTCCTCCTGGAACATAGTTTCAATTTTCTGTTGTCTAGTACGTTTTATAACAAAAAAGGTGGCAGGGTTTTCTGGGTCTCCCCCTTCTGCCAAACTTTAAATCTGCTGCGTCCTAAACTCAATAAAATGGAAAGAGTTAAGTTCTTCTTGTGCACTTGAAAAAAAAAAAAAGTTTGACAACAATTTGCTACAAATTCTGTGGATTCTGCGATTATAAATCACATTGCAGAAAAGTGATCACTAAAATTTCCATAAAGCGACATTTAGATAATAGTCCCTTTTCAATTGAGGAAAAAATAACCTTTTTGATAGATTTTAGATTTATTCAAATATTCGTTATAAGTTCTGTGTATTTTAGAATTGTATATCACATTGCAGAAGAATAATCGTTATGATTTCCATGAAGCGACATTTAGAGAATAATCCCTTTCCAGTTGAGGCAAAGACAACCCTCTTGCTGAATTACAAACTTATTCAACAATTTATTGCAAGTCCTGTGTATTCTGGGATTTGATTACATATTGCAGAAAAATTTTATTTTCATAATGCAACATTTAGAAGATAATCCCTCCTTGAAAGTTGACTTAGGTGCAGGATCGAATAGCAGCGGGGAATTAACTGCTGTTTATTTAGACACAATATAACAAAAATTAGCTGCGGTTTATTTAGACACAATATTACAAAAATATGTGGGTGTGGTATGATGCCACACACCCACAGACGATACCGCAACTCCAAGTAAAATGTCTTAAATGTCAGGTGAAATAATCCTGAGATCAAGGCCTTCATAGGGTTAATTCTGGTACTGGGCTATCCCACATATGCAACAAGTAACACAAAACAAAATGTAGTCCATAGTAGGAGTAAACCCTTACAATCCACAGAAATTATGAAAAATTGCACATTTATTGATATAAAAATTGCAGCGATGTATGGCAGAAAATAGTCATGGCAGAACACAAAAGCTGAATAGAAGAGCAGGAATATTGTGGAATGCAAACAGCATATGATAGTCACAAGATGAATATACAGATATCCAGGTAAGGACAACACACGGGCAAAAAATAGGAACACTTAAAGAATGCGGCGGTTAGGGACTGGAGTGCTGCTGGTGTCCCGGTGATAGCTAGGTAGCGTGCTTGGCGGAGGTACCCAATTGGGGTACCAACCGGTTCGCCACAGCGTATCCCTTTAAACTGCACTAATTATGCATACATTACTTATGCCAAAAAATAAAAACAATTATGCATTGCTTGTATTTTTTTTCTTATAATAAATAATTCAGATATTTATATGCTGCATCAAATTAAAGTCAGTTTGTTCTTTTAAAAAATTGTGTTGAAGCAATAAATGAAAAAAAAAATAGCAGTTGAACAAACATATAGCAAATATGCTAAAATTGTATCGGTCTTCAAGTACAAACAAGCCAACTGAAGCTTCGTCTTCTAGGCGTTAACCCATTAAGGACCAGATGATGGTACAGGGTGTTAAAGTCTGATGATGCATAGACCACTATGCGTTTAAAGGTTCCAGCAGGGCTAGATTCCTGCTGGTACCAGGAGGCACCAGTTGGGACACAATGAGTGACCTTAGTTTGACAGATGAATGGTGTGCAGAGCTCAAATGGAGATTGGCAGGGACAGCATGCAGGAGCTGTAGCGTGAGAAGTAGATCTCTCTCTCACAATGTAATCATACCGTAGCGGTCACTCACAGAGTGCTCTGTACTGTGTTAGTTGGAAAATCCCTCTTCTGACATCATCCCTTTATGTTGGGCTTACGGTTAGCAATAGGATTTGGGTTATAGTTAGAGGAAGAATTAGAAGTACGATTAGGTTTAGAGATAGCATCAATGTTTTAATATTTCTGAAAAAGGTGACACAAATAGTGTCACTTGATCAAATTCTGCCCCTAGTAGGTAAGCAAAGAGGCATGTACAAATTAGGGCATGTTCGTTATTTGATCTTACAGTCCTTGCAAAGGTATACAGATAGGGTGTACATTGGAATAGTAGTAGAATACAAATATGTGGTCTATACAGTAGTGGGACAAAGGTGGTTTGTGAGATTCCCCTGAAAATAAAAAGTAGTAATAGCATACCAAGATAAAAACCGTGAACCGAGCTACATTTAAACTGATAGTACACCCTTTCAATTTAAATGTAGCTTGGTTCACGGTTTTTATTTTGGTAGCCTACTTCTGGTCTGAAGAGTTGGGGGTGTGGTTACAGCCAAGCAGGGAAACCTACATCTCTTTGTATGGGAGTGTTTTAAGATGAAACAACCCAGAAACATATAGGTTGAGATAAAAAAAAACAAAAAAAAAAACCCACAAGTGGTAAGCTGTTAAATGCTTTTAATGCCAGTTTATTTAAATTATGTGTACATACAAAGAACATGCATATTTAGTGGATGTAATGTAAAATGCATATGTTTAAATTACTAGGTATTTAATTACCACCCACTTACACATTACTTATGTGACAAAACAAGGACTATAAAATTCAGACTAACATTGTTCAAGCTTTCTAGTTTTTTTTGATGATGATGAGAATCCACAAAGGAAGAATTAGAAGTCAATTGTTGAAGATGAACTTTAAAGAATGAGATGTTGTGGCAAACAAGGTTGGCCACCTGCAAGATTATTTTAAAACTGTAGGGTACAAGTGAACAAAAAAATAACTTCTGTGCTGTTGTATTTATCAAACTTAGGTCTGCCCATCCATATATTGATCACTTAAGGATCACCCAGGAAAAACCTAAGGATGCATTTTTTTTCTTTATTTACGTTGCTGCATGGCAAGGATTTAGTTGCCTTATCCTATCTCCATAAAACTTAACTTTTCTCAGAACCTACTAGCTTGTGGTAAATCCACAGACGACTGTGCCTACTTGCTTAAAGTCAACTAGAACAAGCTAGCTAAAGCTCTGGGTACTCTGATGTGACAAAAAGGGCTTTCAATCCTCACAAACAGGCTCTAAGGAACTCCTGACTATATACACTGTATGTTGGTCCAACTTTTCTGGGCATAATCTTCACTGTTCTTTGGTTGTGGTATGTGAAGATGTTTGCCCTTTCATGCTAGTACTTGTACATGGTGATATATATATATATTTTTTTTCTTTTTTAAGTTTTTAAATCTAGCAATTTCAACATGACAACATAATTATTTACTTTTTTTATAATTTTTTTCTTGAACACTTAATTGCAATTGGCCTTAAATATTATATGTAGGTATCCATAAAAATAATAATATAATATATAATATGCTTCAATGTGAAAATAAAAACCAATGCTTTTTCTATTGCAAACACAAGATTAAAGTTTACATGATTACAAAACAGTACAAAATGATTTACAGAGAAAACATGTTATTTACAAAATTACACCCATTATAAAATAGTAATTGTGGAGATATAATTTCTCATAAAATCAGTAAAATAAAATTCAGTTTATGCCTCTCATCAAGTTCTGACAAATTCACTACACGGGACACCATATCTGCTTAGAATTTAAGCCTGCCTTGGCAAAACTACACCCAGACAGCCAATACAGATCAAAAGAATAACGAGTTGTGGGTTTGTATATTTCATTTTTCACACCTAACAAATTCAACCTTGTTAAATAGTAAATATAACATTGAAAAACCTTGGAAGTGATTGTTCCCCATCCACAGTCATTAGTGCATTAAAATGAAAAATCATTATAAATCAAAAACACCTTAAACCAAAAATATTGAAAATGAAACAAACAAAAAAAAGCGTAATAATAATTAAACAAGTATAGTAAATATCCTACATAAACACCGAGATTTGATTATACTTAATAGATGGCACAGGAGGGGTGACTTAATTTAGCTTAGAGGGAAAATGTGAATCCACGCTAGCACAGTATCTCATCACACTCAACTCCCTCTTTTAGTTTTATAGTAAATATTTAAAACTATACTAATACTCAGTAGTAACAAAACATATTTAGTGATGTGAGGCAGCAGCACACAAACTACCAATACTATTGGCCAGGGGACTTATGCCCCCATTGCCAGTCCTCCTCTGACAGTGGGATAGGTTTCCAGAAACAAGTAGCTTAGTACTAGAATGTCATTCAAGTATTTCACAACTTTTTCTAGTGTGTTTTTAATCTATTATTGTCAACATTTTTAACATTAATGTACCAAAAAAGTTTATATGTTACTGTAGGTTTTTTTAAGGTCATTCTTCTGGTTATATCTTTCCATTTTAAGGTTCATTCTTTTGGAAGAACAGGAGCTCTGTTCTACTAGTTCATGTGAGGGTTCAGACCATGGTTTCCTGTGGAAAAATGGTTTAATAAGAGTACCGACTGCCATTTTCTCTATTAAGCAGGGCCAGCAATGACCATCTAGTGCACAAAGTTAGGCAAACGTGAGGGAGACTGTAATACACCAAACACCATAATTACTACATTGTGCTGTTGTGGTTATGGTGCCAAGTGTACCCTGCCCTCTCCAAATGTAAGTAGTCAAACTGGCGTAGAATGGTTTGACCTTTTACATGGTATCCATTGGGTGCCGCTCCTCGCCTCCTCTTTGCAGCCAGGGCTAGCTCATAGGTGGAGAGTGTCGCTCTCAGCGAATGAGCTAAGCCCTGCTTTGCAAAACTTAGTTCAGACAAAAAGCTTCTGTCTCTTTGAAGGCTGTTGTGGAGGCAGAGAGAGGTAAGTTAAATCATTTTAAAACTATTTGGCAACATATACAGGCTATGCCTGGCACCAAAACTACTAGATAGTGTTGGTAAAAGTAGTAGCAAAAAGATAGACATGGGAAAGTATGGAAAATATAGTAATAGAGAAAATAAGAGGAAAGGGGTGGGTGAGTTCAGTTATGATTAGGGTCAAAACTAAGTCCAACCGTAACAATTATCCTAGATGTAAATGAAATACTTCTTTAAAATATATTAACACTGTTATTTTATCGTTTAAAAATATTTCCCTATTTAACAGTTGTCTGTCTGGCCCTGGCTCCTAGGGTCTAGGAAAATCTGTTAAGCCCCGTTATTAGTGCCACTTTAAAGGGTATACTTTCTTCCCAGAAAAGATTTGTATTAATGTGCATTCCTGCTAATATTCTTAGTGTAAAAAATACTTTTACATAAATATAAAACATACACATATATAAGGATTAGCATTAAATATTTTACAGAACTATATATATATATATATATATATATATATAAAAAAAAAAAATAAAAAAAAAAAACAGTTCTCTCCTTCTGTAATCTACAATTTAAAATAATTGTTATCTGCCCTCTTTCTAAAAGCAAATAGGTGGCACTTTTCAGTGTGCTGTGTGCGCTTATTCTTTTGAACGGATTATCCAACTGAAATTCATTTTTTATCAAGAATAATATTTCCTTGTTGATCCTTTATCCGAACACGTCCTGAGGAGTATTTTGTTTCCTGACGACCATTTGAGTATACTGTTTTTATAGTACCATCAGGATACTCTCTCCTTTTAAACTGTGCAGTGTGAATCTCTTTTTGCCCATTGTGGAATGTAACCGTTTTCTGACCATTCCTGTAAATATATGTATAGGTAGTGAAAATCTTAATTCTGTGCAAAATATCATTCCCCATCCTAACAGTTCCAAAAGTAAATACACAAAACAGCATAATAGTTTCTAAAATATTTCTACTAATCCCTTCATGGACATGATGACACATGAACAATCCAAGTGCCAGTTTGTTTGAATTTCATATATTCCAGGGTTTAAAATTTCTACTTGACTCTAGCTAATGAAAGGTGGAAATTAAGCCCTGGCCAGCAGAAATTTACAAAATACCCCCATTTAAAAACATTGCAGCCCATTGTAGGCCATGCCCTACTGCTATGCAGCTTAGCTTTATTTTACAGTACTATGGTTATTGTATTTTAAATACATGTTTTACACTTTTTAATTAGTGATTTCTGCCTAATTCAGGGAATAACTAGCTAGCATGACAATAAAGGTTAAATAATGGTTAAGCCAGCTACTGGAAAAAATGCATTTACAGAGAAACCGATCACCATTGTCTTGGTATGGAACAGCCAGGGCCGGTGCAAGGATTTTTGCTGCCCTAAGCAAAAAAGATTTTGCGGCCCCCATTCACGCCACAGTGGTCTTAACCTCACAAGATAAAACATTGCCTTACCTTGAAGGGTTAAACAAGCCTCTAGCTGTTGTCTCACTGACAGCCACTTTGCTCTATGGGACAGTGCTTTGCTCTCTCCTCCAGCTCTGCTTCACTCCTACTTGATATTTCCTGTCCTAATGTTTCTAATACTCCACCTCCTATAGTCTGTAAGCTCGTTTGAGCAGGGTCCTCTTCAACCTATTGTTCCTGTAAGTTTTCTTGTAATTGTCCTATTTATTGTTACATCCCCCTTCTCAAAATATTGTAAAGCGCTACGGAATCTGTTGGCGCTATATAAATGGCAATAATAATAATAATAATAATAATAATAATAGAGACACAACTCCGCTACAGTGTCATGTTTAGCTATATGAAGCGTTGAAAGTGCATAGCGATTGCCACTTATGCGCATGAAGTCCCCAATGTTTCTGTATAAGGAACATAGGATTGGACCAGTATTGCCCCATCAGTGACATTGAGCGAGGTAAGGAGGCAAGCAGTGCAGAGGTAGTCGGTGCTTGATAAATGGTGGGGGGGCTTGAATCTATGTAGGGACAGAGACCCTATAGTATTCGGAATACAGGTTTATATTCCTAACACAATAGTGTTCCTTTAAAAGTATTTTTTAAATTTTTTTTAATTAAAATCGTCCTTTTTCCCCAAATACAATCACTGATACTACAAACATATACACACACTCACTCACACTCAATGGTCCACACAATCACAATCCGTGACCAATGCACACACAAATTCAATGACTCACGCAGAGTGAGACACACACACACTGACTCAAGCAGACATACACAGACTCATGCAGACTGACACACACACACAGACCCAAGCAGGCACACAAACTGATCCAGGCACACCCAGATCCAACCAGATAAACACACTAATCCAAGCACACAAGCACACAAACTGATCCAGGCACACACAGATCCAACCAGATAAACACACTAATCCAAGCACACAAACGCACACTGATCCAGACACACACAGACAGAACCACACATACTGATCCAGATACACACACACACAGACCCAAGCAGGCACACACACTGATCCAGACACACACACAGACCCAAGCAGACACACACAGACCCAAGCGGAAACACACACAGACCCAAGCAGACACACACAGACCCAAGCAGACACACACAGATCCAAGCAGACACACACAGATCCAAGCAGACACAAACAATGACGCAAGCAGACACACAAACCCTGACCCAAGTAGACAGATACACAGACCCAAGAAGGCACACACACACATAAAATACTGACACACACACACTGACCTAAGCACACACACACACTAACCCAAGCACACACAAACATACTAACTGAGATAAGCTGACACAAACACACACACACACACCATGAAGTCTCCAACTTGCCTTCATTTCAAATAGTCTCTCTGTGAGGTCCCAGTCCAGGCCTGGCTGTTTTGATACTCTTTTAGGTCCGCCCCCACTATCCTCCTGCCCACTTGTCCCTGAGTACAGGGGAAGGGGCAGGAGCCATCATGCCATGCGCCCGTGTGCTTCCGGCATGAGAGGTGTGTAGGGGGGGCGGCTCTCTGATCTTTGCGGGCTAAGGTTGAAGGCCCCGAGCGCTAGTCTGCAGCTATGTAAGTGCTTCCTGGCGCCCAGTGCCTTCACCTGCAGCACGCATTATAGGATGCGTCCCACATAGAGGGGCGCTGTTTATGGGTGCCCCCCTTAAGAAGCGCCGTAGGCGGCCGCCTAATCGGCCCATACTATTATGTGCCTGCCCTGGGAACAGCAACACTCTTGGTGCTTTCTTTTGTCTGTGTTTGCATAGTATCACCTAACATGTACTTTACAGTTGTGTGTTATTGTACTATACTGTTTTTTGTATTTGGAGGATGATGCATAATATACCAAAGCAGGTCATCTCATCCATACAGGGGTGCCTCTGACAAACCTAATTGAGATTGAGGCACTCTAAAATATTGTGTGTATATATATAGTTTTATTCTGTCTTTCTTGTTTTTACTTCTCATTACCTCTTGCAAGATGGAAAAAAAATGTAGGTGTTAATGAGGTACAATGCAATGATGGCTTTATGAATGTCATGTATATAGTACTATATGGGAAACCCATAGCATACAAGTGACCACTTGTTCTGTAAGGCTTTCTCATAACTTGTATCTAAGTATTTGCTAGTGCAAGAAGATGACACTGCATTAAATCATCCATCATTCCATACAGTAAGAAAAGAAGTCTATATTTCACATTAACAAAATTATCTGATTGCCAACAAACATAGCAATATATGTGTCAAAAGGAGACAAATTTACTAGTCCAAGAAAGACTACATGTAGCCAAGAGAATGCTAGTTTAAATATCTAAATGAGCAAACAACTATGAATCTGTAAATGAACGGTTAATGAACTTAAACACTTGTTCAGCATGGAATCGCCATAAAACCTGAGTTTATTTTAACTTAAAGAGACACTCCGGGCACAAATACTACTTTAATGCATTTGATAGGTTTTGACCTAATTAGTATGCTGTATTATTATTTGCATGCTAAATATTTATAGTTTTTGCATAAAATAAATACATGTGTTGCACCATAAGCCCGCCTCTTTAGTCACACGCCTCACTCCAAAAAATATTTCCTTATTAAAAAGGTAGGTACATAGCTCAGCCACTGACAGTACTGAATGATCTGAACTATAAAGCAACCTGCATTAGAATGAGGGGACACCCAGGAAGGACATAATAAGGATATCACTATTTGCAGTTTCTCTGTCTGCAGCCCTGTTGTCAGTTAAAAACAGCTCACTCAGTACTGTTGGGGCTGAGACTGTGTGCATATCTTTGATAAGGAAGTCTTTCTGCACAAGGGGGCGTAGAAGCAGGCAGCCTTATGGTGCAGCATTCTGCAAAACATTTATTTAATTTATGTGCAAGAACTATAAAGATCTAGACATGCAAAACAATATACAGGATACAAATGAGACCAAAATGCATTAAAGTTAAAAGTTACAAAATACAGAAAGTAAATTAATATTCTAAATAAAAATACAATAACACTAACTTTTCTAACTTTACTATAGTTCCATCGGGGAAAGTGGTTTCCTCCCGGCCATCTCTAAAAAGGAGTTTTATTGTCCGATCAGGAAACACAATTTCTTTAGTGCCATCAGGATGGTGTTTCTCTAAAACAAAAACAAATGTCACAGTTCATGAAAAACCAGAGGATAAATATTGCTGTGCTACAATCAGCGTACTCTAGAAATAAAAAAAATGCTTTGGTGGATGAGATAACAGTTGACTTAAAAGCATATTATTATTATACTTTATTTGTATAGCGCTATTGCAATCTTCAGTGCGGCAATCTTCAGTACTGTCTATGAGTACAATCAGCACAAGGAAAAAAAGACATAATGTCGTGTTACACTCTAGATGGGTAGGTGAGTGAGAAACAGGAAGTGGAGTGCACACAGATCATACCCGCATTAAATTCTGGACGAGGAAGCACCATCTTGAGGCTGTCAGGGAGACAGCCACTGGGGTGTGGTTAGCCCTGCAATGTAAACATTGCAATATCTCTGAAACAGCAATGTTTTATAATCCAGGAACAAACCAGCAGGGGCACTATACTAAGACCACTTCATTCAGCTGAAGTGGTCTGAGTACTTATAGTGTCTCTTTAAGGAGATACTCAAGTTCAAAAGTCCCTCTCTTTCGTTTAATAATAAATTATAAATACAGTACATAAATAAAGTGATCACATAGATTTTAATTGCATAATTATTCCCCCCCTCCCACCTTGGATATTTCCACACTCTATAGGTTTAAAACCTATAAACAGAATGGATCATGTGGAGATTTGTACTATTTGATTTACATATTTGATTTATTGTGACACAAAGTTTAACATATTGAACAGAACAGGGGATTTAAAATGTGTCTTTTTAAAATGTATTTATATTTACTAACCAAATTCTAGAAGTATGTGCTTCTTCAGACATCTTTGTCTACATGATG